TCAGGCGATCGGAGGGGGATGGGGGTCTACACCTCTGGCCGAGGCATCAGGCCTGGGCCGAGGGCAGAGCCAGCAATTGGAGGGGTCTGTGGGTCCCCTGCCCAGGCCTGATGCCTGGGCGAGGGGCATCGGGCGTGGGGTGGGGGCAGAACCAGTGATGGGGGGAAATGAGGGTCCCCTGCCCAGGCCTGACGCCTCTGTGAGAGGCGTCAGGCCTGGGCAAGGGGCCGATCCTGCAATTGGAGGGTGATGGGGGTCAACACCTGAGGGCTCCCAGTATGTGAGAGGGGGCAGGCTGGGCTGATGGACACTCCCCCCACACACACACACACCCCGTGCACTAATTTCGTGCACCAGGCCCCTAGTAATTTAATAAAAATAAATAACCATTCATGACTGGACATTAGATATGAGAAAACTATTATTAATTATGTTACATGTGATAAAATATTATGATTATGTAAAAGAATGTCCTCTTAGAGAATGTGTGCTAAACTATTTAGGGATAAAGTATTATGTGTAAATGACTTTAAAATGGCTCGATAACATATACCTATGAATCTAATAGTTCTGAAATGTTAAATCAAGGTGATGGCTTTGGACTATTCTTCCTATTTTTTATTGTGAAAATATTAAAACTGAGAAAAACCTTAAATTTTTTCCCATAACCTACACTGTGTACAAGCTAAAGGCCATACTCCTTACTATGACACCTCAGAGGCCCCTGCAATCAGGTTCCTGGTAACCTACATAATCCCATCTCATATCACTTCTCATACACACCTAGCAAAGCAGCTCATCCAACTTTCCCTGTATGTGTGCTATTTCCTTTGACTACAATGTACTCAATGTAGAGAAATTATTTTTTCTTTGTAAACTCAACTCAATATTACCTCTTCTGAAGCCACCCCTCACCTACTCAAAGTACAATTATATACTTCCTTCCCTATCTCTAATGGCACTTTTTTCAAACTGCCCACTAGAGTCAGTCCAATACTGTACCATAGTTCATTGAAAACCATGTCTTCCCAGCTGGATTAGAAAGGGCTTGAAAACAAAACATTAGCTTTGGCAAATGTCTTTTCTCCTGTTACAGGAGGAAAAGGAAAAGGCCAATTTCACCACATAGGCTACGGAACGCATCCCATTTGCAAGTGAACTCCTTCCTACTATGACTGTATTATGAATCTTTCCCTCTACCCCAGAGCAGTCCCAACAGCATACCAAACATTCTGTAGTATCTCTGTTTAATCCCTCCAGCTATGGACTCATTTCCCACTTAGAATTTCTTAAAAGAACTATGAACACATGCTGTCTCTAATCCTTTATTTCTAACTCCATCTTTACACCAAAATTGGCTTCCATCATCATCACTCCTTACAAGGTCACCAATATTCTCCACATTGCCAAGTCCAGTAGGCACCTTTCTGTCATCTTAACTTCACAGCAACATCTAACATGGTTCCCCACTCACTTCCTCAAACATTTCCATGTTTTGGTATGCACTATGCTACAGGGGTATTCCATTCTCATATAGTCTTCTATCTTCATGGTTTTAAATATGACCTTCACTTTAAAAAGACCTGAAAGACATAACACTCAAATGCAGTTTGAATTCTAATTCAAATAACCAACTGTTAAAAGACATCCTTCAGACAACCAGAAAAATCTAAATACAGACCAAGCATTAGATGATGTTAAGGAATTAGAATTAAATTTATTAAAGTTGATAACGACATAGTGGTTATGTAAAGTGTTTTATCAATTAGAGATGCACAGTAAAAAAAAAATCACACTGAGATTTGCTTTAAATCTACTAGGTTAAAAAAAGTTAGAAATGTTAGATAAAACAAGATTAGCAAAATACTGGAAGTTGTTAAGTCCAGTGATGACTGTATGTGCAATCATTATATTACTCTCTACTTTTTTCAAGTTTGAAAATGTCCATAATAAAGTTAGTCTTATCTGAAATCTGATGATGCTTAAATGTCTATCTCCCGCCCAGAACTGTCCTTCAAACTCTAAACTCATGATACTACTACCGCTTGCCTGACATCTCCAACTGACTGTCAGAGAAATCTTAAGTTAACTGTCCAAATTAAACATTCCCACTGGTCTCCGACCCCTATCTTAGTAAACAGTACCACAATCCACCAAACTGATGGCTCTTTGTCTAGCCCAGGGACACATCTATTAGCAAGCCTGATGAGGGTGATTGAATCCAGACACAATCATGGTCGCCTCATGGACTCAATGCAACATCTTTCAACTAGTTGCAGCCTTGCTTCTCGGCTTTTACTCTTGAGCCCAGTTCAATTCTTCCTCTGCAGAGCAAAGCGTATTAGAATGTTAAGCTGAGTGTGCCACTGCTCTGCCTAAAATCCTTCAACAGCTTCGCCAGCCCTTAGAATTAAAAACTTGAACATAGCCATAGTGTCCCACAGGATTGGGCTCTCCAAAGACTTTCTCAGTGCCTTGCTTGTTCCTTCATGATAATTTTCATCAACTCTATTTATTGATATGTTTACTCATATTTGTCATCCCTCTCGCTAGAATGTGGGGCAGGGATCATGTCCATTTTTTTTTTCTCACCTGTGTTCGGTATCCCACACCACACAGTCCAATACTTGGAAACCATGTTCAGTGTGGGTAAGGAACATCCCACAAACAAGTCCTCTCCCACCACGGAAGTTTCATCTTTAAAACACACGGGGAGGTGGGGCGGGGAAGGGGGGCCTTAAGAAACCGAATCAGAGCATATAATACTACTAAATAACAGTGCCTTGCAAATTTCACGAAGCTCCCCACAAGGCTTATAAGAATTAACAAAATTGCCAGGAGCTAATCTGGAAATATAAAATCCTTTAACCACTCCTCAATTCATCTGGTTCAAAAACAAGAACACACGTTAAACTTGATGGAAGAACGTAAGTCAGATCTGACACGAAACTCAAAACTTATAACCGCAAAGGGACCCGCCGAACTAAATATTAAGGAAATAACCCAATATCCTCAGGTTTCCATATCTTAATGGAAAACGCTACGATTTATGCACAGCACCTTTTTTACACTACCAAATTTAGGGAAGAGAGATCTGATTATTAGGCTCAGATTCACCAGGGATCTGCAGTGAACAACCCGAAGTGGGCGGTCCCAGCCACTTGTCCACACGTGCGCGGGGAGCGCCAGGGTCCTCCCCTCCCGCCCCGGCCCACGCGGGCCCCGGCTCCTCCCGCCGGTCACACGGGCCCTCTCCCCGCAGCCTCGGGGCC